AGGAGTTAGAAAAATCGATAGTACGAGAAGATATATATTTAAGATACAATTTCAAATAGAAGTTACATATGTAGTTGTACGTGTTGGCGTATTTGTTGGAAAATGAAAGAAAATTCAGCTGACGATAAGAGGGAGAAAGAAAAAAAAAAGTAGAAAAGACAGGCAAATGGATCGCGGCTCTCCTAGCTATCCTTGGAAAATATTTCCAAGATTGAAATTCCGGCGATGACGGGAAAGGATTTCCGGCTACAAAGGCAAATTGGCGAACGCGGTAAGGGCATACATTTAGCGCATTTGCAATGCCAATCGGCCCGGGCGCGTTCGGAGGAGACGAAAAAATTCCGCGACGGGATATCACGTAGACGGCCGCGCAATCGCTTCGTCTCACCTCGCCTCGCATCGTTCCGCCTCGCGTGGGAATTATATGCGCCGTGAGGGAAATTTATGAAGCTTTTCAAACGTATGCGCTCTTCGCCGTATAGCCGCACGGCCGCGGTATTAAAATGCGCACCTATAAATAATTTTTTCCCCACATCGCGCACAAATGCGCGCGCGCTCCCCTCTCCTTGAGAGATCTAATTGACGCGCTTTTCGTCGTCGGGGTATTCGCGCGCTTGACGTGAACAGACGAGAGGAACGCGACACGACATCCGTCTCGTTCGTCCCGCGGAATATTGCTCGAGAAATCGACGTTCGACACGCGAATCCCCGAGGAGAGACGGGCGGCCAACTTTCCCGCAAGATCGACGCGACGAGTCGAAGTTTCGCGGGGAATTTCATCGGCAATTCAGTATGCATAGAAAAACTCGATATTCCGCGGTAAGCTGCACTTCGCGCAGCAGCGGGAGAGGAGCAGGAGGAGGAGGGTTGATAAATATTCCGCGCGTCGATACATCTCGCGGTCTCTCGACGTGCCTATAACCGCGTATAGAATAACGGATGAACGCGCGTCCTAAGCGCGGCCGCAGTCCGCAATCGTAATGATAATCGATCGCACGTCCCGGGACGTAACCGGTTCGCGCCTCAGGTCGGCGCGATATGCAAAACAATTCTGCTTATATATCACGGCGGAGAGAGGAGCGTGAGCGAGCGTACATACATACGTACGTACGTTCCGTACATTCGTTGTGTAGCGAAGCGGCGTTTGACAGAGCAATGTTTCCCTCCCGGCAAAACGTATAGCACTCGATCGTGCGAAATGGACCGAGCGCGAAACGCGAGCGGCACGGCGGAACAAAAACGACAAGCGTGAGTTGCGGCGCGTTACGACGTAATGTAAAGGCCACGAGGCGTCCTGAGCGAAAAAGTTTTCTCGTTATCCATCCATCCGCCCGGGGACTGTCGAGCGAAAAAAGGCCGGTAAATTGCGGGTCCGCAATTCCGCCAAAGCGACTGGCTGCGTCGGGCGGACTGATCCATACGGATGTTTCAATCGCGCCGACGTCGGCGGCGGCGTTACACCCCATAATCCGCGCGCGCGTCTCATTCACGGTCTGAATCGCGCCGAGATCCCGGTGTGTACCGACAAAATGAGACGTTGAGGGAGAGCGCGAGGGAGAGAGGATCGAGTCCGAGTAATATCCGCAGTGGGACGCGCGACTTTAAGTGGATCTTTTTTGCGCGTTTTTAAGTATCGCACGGCTCGCGCGTCGGATGCGCTATAAATATTTCACCATAAACTCCCTATAAATATTTAACACGCGTCCCAGGTACTTCACTGCGCCGATCTACCATCGCCGCTCTCCTCTGTCGATCTGTCTTTCTCGAACTTTTCCCCCTTTTCTGCCCCCCGCCCCTCCCCCCCGACAGTGTAAATAAATTTACATCGCAGTCTCGACGTATCGAAGTCTCGCGCGGCGCGCTCTCGAGGTATTCCGCGCAATTTACAGCGTCTTACAGCGCGATAACGCGGAGACGAAATTGCGGGATCGAAGTAATTGGCTCCGAGGATTAACGTTCACGCCCGTTCTCGCGCGATCGTACCCAGCGTGGCGCAATTTCGGGCGAGAAAACGCGATTCGTAATTTCGCGCGGCGCAGTCCGCGGCAGAGAGACGCGCGTAAATATATCAAACGTCGGGAAGTCAAATAACGATTGGGCGCGAGAGGATAGAAGAGCAGAGTAGCAGGGAGGGACAAGGGGAGAGAGCCCCATTCAAAAAAGTGGTTCTGCCACTCGAATATTAAGTTGAGTCGGAAATTTGTTTACTTTGCGTCGAAGCAACTGTCTCTTCGATTAAATTTTATGATATTCTTGTGTAAAGGGAATAAATTCTTCTTTTCAATACACTAGAATGAGCTTTTCTAAAACTTGTCGCGAGTATATTAATTTTAGGACTGTTATCAAGAAGATATTTTTTGCCCAAGAGAATTGTTACTTAAAAGAAGGAAAGTGAACGATCGCGCAGAATAAAATAATATTTTTCTCTGTGTACGTATCACGGACCATTTTCCAGCAGATTTTCTAGCAAATGCGAGAAAGTAGCGATACATTTAAACTGTGATATCTAGAATTCTATTCTACCTGGACCGACGGAACATTTTTTTCACACAATGCGACGCCAACGCCTATGTCGAAAATTGGTCGACTTCATTCCCGCGAATCGCGAGATCATTTTCGCTCGCGATATCCCGCAGTTATTTTAATGCCGGGTGCGAACGATTCGCCGACACTGCGGCGGAAACTGCGAGCGGCATTGGCTGCTTTGGATGGAGCGAGGAGAGAGAGAGAGAGAGAGAGGAGAAGGGAGGGATCATCAGACATCTATCGATCTGCCTCTTGTCGATATGAATATCTATTAGACGTAATTGATGTCTACCATCAGGCGTAGCGAATGTCGCAGTAAACGTCAAATCGGTCTCGCTTCGCTCTGACTGATCGGTGTTGTGAAAACGCTTCGGCTCCGATAGACGAGCTGCCAGCGGATTGTCTCCTGGAAAAATTTCGCTGTCGTTGGAGCCATCGGAGATATTGAACCGTGCTCTCCCTTTCTCTCTCTCCCTCTCCCTCCCTCTCTTTCTAGTAGCCGTTTCGTTCGATGCGCATTGGCTATACACAGTGTGTATCGGAAATAGCCGGCTAAAACCGAGGAATTCTCCCGCAGCACGTCATTTCAAATTTAATTGTTTTAATTCCGATTGCGAAATTCCCCGCGAGTCGCGCAATAAAAGCTTGTTTCAACTGTAATTGTTTTACGCCGTAGCCTTTGACGAGAGTTTTGTTGCGTTATTTCTATCTATCTATCCTTCTCTCTCTTTCTCTCCCTGTCCATCCCTGTCCCTCTTTCTCTTTCCCCTTTCGCTTTTTCCCCGAGAAAGTGACGGTTAGCTAAAAAAATTAAGGCGGAAGAACTAACAAGCACGCGTGTTCTTGGTTAATTAGAGCGCAGCAGCGCGTCAAAAACTGCAATGGGGTACAAGAGCTATCGTCCGGTCAAGATACTTAGGAGGCGAAAGGAACTTTCAACGTCGGGTCGACAGCAAGATTTAGATGCGGTAATAAGTTAAAGAGACGGGAAAAGAGGAAACTGACGGCGGCTAAGGAGGGAGGGGGGTCTGCGAAGTTTGTGGGAGTGATAGGAGGACAGTAACGCATTTAATGAAAGAGTACGGCGGGCGCACGAGAGAGGGACGGAGAACGCGCGAGAAAGTAGGGAGAAAAAAAAGGGAAAGGTGTTGAGCACTGAGAACGACGAGTTAAATTGGATGGAAGAAGCGATGAGAAAGGGGAAAGGGGGAAAGACAGACGGAGAGAAAGAGAAAGAGAGGGGATGAAAAACGGGAAATACAGAGCGAGAGACGGTCGAATTTAAGAGGCGGTACAAAGACAACGGTAATGCAGAAATAATTGAAGTCGCGAGATTAATGCACCGGTATATAAACGCTCCTCAGTATGTTAATTAGAGGACATTAAGCGCACGACACTTATTTCCGTCTCTGCTTCCCTCTCTCTCTCTCTCTCTCTCTCTCTCTCTTTCTCACCCTCCGAAAGCATCTCACGCGACGAATGATCGCGCGAGCAATGAAAGATCTCGTAACTAAAACATGCTCTCGTGCAAAAATTCGGCGAGTAAACTTTCCGTAATTTAAGTCGGGACACAACGATACGCGCGTATCGTTATAATATAATATCTCCATTGTCATTACAACGTCGCAGTAGTACAGGTGCGCAGTAAATTGTTAATATGAATATTAATACGATCGCTGATAGTGTTGTTAAATAACGGAGTACTGCCGATGTTATGGTAATTATTCTAATATTAGTTAACAAGATACGTAAGTGGACACGCGCGCTTGACCAAAATTGATTCACAGTTCGTTTATGAATCGCGGTGGGAGATTAATTCCGCGTCCAAGATATTATCCCGTCCTGTACACACGGTATCCAAATATCCATGTCATCATATTCACCGTCATCATAACCGCCGCCCGAGCCCTCTCTGCAAACAGGAAGAATCGACCTACGCGAAATAGCCGCGCGAATCGATTCCCCGCACTAGATACACACACAAACACACAGATTATTCGCCTGTCTATCCAGCGTGATACTCCATTCTGCAGCGACTCATTGAAACCCGTGTCGCAAAATTCACGGTGGGAACGTCTCTTTCACAGGGCTCGACGCCTTTCCGTCGCGAATTTCAATTTAAAAGTCATAAAGAACGACACGTCGCTCGCGCGCGAATATAATTGACGCTCCCGAACTTTCCCGCGAACGTCGCCGCGGCGACGCCGAAAGCGGAAAAATCGGCCCGGCGATAAATCTCTTTCCTGGACGCGCGCGAAACGCGGTTCGGTAATGCCGGACGAGCCGATCCCGCGATATATCCAGCGTTTACAAGCGAGAATCGAGCTGTGTCCGAGCGCGTGTCGAGCCCTACTTGGCGGGACACCCGAAATCCTGTCGCTCGCTCAATACCTCGCTCTCTCTCCCTATGTCCTGTCGTCCTCCTGCGCCGCCACCCTCTCCCACCCCGGTTCAGAAGAAGAATCGATACATACCTGAAGTATTCCGCGTATCTGTCCGCTCTTGGTCTCGACGATGCGCGAGGCGTAGCGGGTCGCAGGCTGAGAGGCTGCCCGGCCGTCGTCGGTCAGGCTTAGCAGGACGATCAGCAAGGCGAGTCCTACGCAGGAGCGCCGGGTAGACTTGGGTCCGATCGGGGTCCTCGCGACCAGCGGCCGGCTCCGGGCCGCCGGCTGGCATGGCAGCAGCATGACAGCATTTGCTGGCGGCCACCTGCAGCGACGCCACCAGCATAACCGCGCGGCGACCTTGATCGTCGAGGTCGGCGAGAGGACAGCCGAGGTCGAGAGCCGGCCGGGACGGACCTCGGGGAAAACGATCTCGGGTCCCGCGGACAGTCCGCTAATTCGCCCGATCACGTGGCCCCGTGCCCGTCGCGAATTTGCGAATCGCGCTCTGCCGCGACGCTTCTTCTATTCCACCGTCGCCTGGCGGCTCTGCTTCTGACACTTTTCGGCCGGCCGATCGACCGCGCGTCCGACCGGAGTCCAAGTTAAATTGCTCTCAAAACATCTTGAATGAGAAAGTTGGACGGCGACGAAGCCCGGCTGTCTCCGCACTCGTCGTCGAGATGCGGCGGGACGTTGTTGGGCGGACGCTGTCGAGAGCTTCGTTCTGTAAGCACAAACGAGAATCCCGATATACACGGGGAAAATGTCGTAGCAAAAATTACGTTAGAATCATATTTCCTTTCACAACGTTTCCTGCAGAGCTGCAATGTGATGTAATTGCAGCGTAAATTAAGGCAAAAATGCCTGAAAGTATCTGGACATTTTAATTATTTTGATCTTTATGCAAATAGTTAGTGCAAATAGTTTCTTAATATAAAATATACACACATATTGGATATGTACACATACAATATATTCTCTATGTTGAAAGTTTGAATATTCGTATTTAAACAGCAAAACAAGAATGTCCAGGAATAGATACATGTACGGGAATTGACGCTTTTGACTTTATTCCGGTAAGCTAGACGATCTAATCTTTAAGTTTCTTGAGGTGGAATATCATTCGAGACGAACGAAAAGTGGTAGTACTTTCTCTCGAGGCGATAGTGAAAGTACTGCCACTCGGAATCGCAAAAGAGTGGATGTCTCTCTCAAGTTTGGAAAGGATCTGATTCCATATGAGCGAATGTTTCAGTCGATTAGAGTGAATACATTCCTGCGATCGTGGAGTACGCCAGTTCACTCTTCAATTTCGATAGAAAATATTTACTCGTCGATTCAGAGTGAAGGATTCACTCTACGGTCCGTATTAATTACTTGAAATTCATTTCAAGTGAGATTTCCAGATTCGAATTCAGAGTCAGATGAAAGTTTCTCAATTGAATCGCGATCGCAAATACAAATATCAGATATAGCGTAACTGAGCTGCAAAAATTTGAATATAATTCTGAATAAAAATATGGATATTCTGTATGAGACAAGTTTCAGATGTCGATTATTAACACGAATCTTAAGAGGGTGCTGCGTACCGAATGAAATAATGCAATTTTGTAGTTTGCACTGTTTTTCTATTTGGTCGCATAGAATGCTTTTGAGAATGAAAGAACAAGTGTCAATACATGGAAAGACACAAAATATTGTATCAAAAAATATTTTTATTTGCAAACTTTTTTTCCGCAATATTTTTCTGTGCATTCGTACTTTCACTCTGTGAAAGCGTTTGCAATTCTATGCAACCAAATAGAAAAATGGCGCAAAACTACGAAACTACATTATGTCGGTGTCTAAAATTCCTTTAATGAGCGAAGAATCACTCGAACTTGAGTGACACTGTTCTACTTTCCGAGTGAAATTTTACCTTAAGAAAGATAGAGAGTACCCGGCATAAGAAAAGCACTCAGGTAATTAGAATAATTTTGTAGTAAAAAGTTAAACGCCTTTTTTTTTAATATATAGTAATGTGTCGGTCATAATTCTGTATGATTCACATGATTACAAAAACTTTGTTATAATTTTTAATGCATTATTTTCTCCGTTATGTACGCGTATGTATGTATGTGTGTGTGTGTGTGCTCCACTAGCGAGATTTCTTGTTTCTTTTCTCAGCGACGAGACTTTCCGCGCGTTTATTAAAGCGATGGGATACAGATGAAAATCGATCAGATCGCCGTTCCACGGGCTAGATGGGGAACAGACTCGCGTTTCCCGTTCTATTCCGTCGCGGGAATGCATTCCGCGGTGGAATCTACTTTGTTTGTGCCCGAAGCCGTCATCCGCGAGAATGGGCTTTTGTCCACGCTTATAATTACAACAATAGGCTTATCAATGCGAACGAATCTCGCTCGGGGGATTGCCATTCGTCATTTTTTTCTTTCCCCCCTTTTTTATGAAAAATCGTTGATCCATTCGATATCGCGTCCGGTTTCGCGGTGAATCCAGTCGCGGCGCAATGCATCGGCACGACGCGACGCGCCGATTCGATCGATCGTCAGTTTCCGAATTCATGTAATTCGGAATTGGAGCGTGCAACGTGCAATGCGATTAGTATGCTTGATTTTTTTGCGATGGTGGAGTCGCCCGCCATTTATAAGCCGCGCGGATGTACTAAGGAGATGCAATTTCGATTCTTGAAAAAATTTATTTTTTCTCATGAAAATTAAATACTCTTCAATTGATTCTCTCCTATTCGATTTAATCGATTATTTCAGAGGAAAATTGACTCGTTGATTCATCGATTTTGTTATATTTAATTCAATAAAAAGTCACACTGCGTCCGACATTCCATCCAATCAAGTGTCGCTTTAGGTTTGCGTAATGTAGAAGAAACTCGATGTTGCCTGGATTTCTTATTATCTAGAATATTTAAAATTAAATTCTTATAAAGTGTCAAGGGAGTGAAGTCAGAGGGAAGAGGTGAATGCTCAGGTTTCATGTAGCTTATATTTTGATGCAAACTTTAATAGGTCAAAGGGTTTAGGAGTGAATAGAGAGTATACAGAGACAGATATTATATTATATATATATATATATATATATATATATATATATATATAAATTATAGAAGTAAGATACATATGATAAATTTGACTGTAAGCCAAATAACTTGGAAATAACTTGGATCTTTCTTTTTCTTCTCTCTCTTCTCCAAGAAGAAACTAGGATTTTAAGCAATCAAAATTCTTATTACTTCTTCAGCTTAAGAGTGAAGATGTATGATAAGATATAATTCAATACATTCAATTTGTTAGTTATATTGAATAGAAAGAAAGATTTGTCAAGCTCCTTAATTAATTCTTACTACAATTTTTCGTAGTGAGAAGTTTAAGAAATCGACTCTTGATTCAATTTATATGATTAGTTCTTGCTATTTAGATTTAAAATCGAAAATCAAGATTCTTATTAAAAAATCGCCCATTTCTAGTGGGTTCCTATATGCGGCGGACAATGTTTTAGGAAACTTTTAATACAAGTTGTTTTGTTGTAACAATTACTCGTAAAATTATCAATTTCGCGAGCAGTCGCTGCAGGTGGCGAAGAGGTCGTACGGAGAACCAGTTTCGCCAGTGACTATTCATGGCGAAATTAACCCGTTCAATCGCTTTGTTAATTAATTCTACCTGTTAATTAATTCTACCGCATGACCGAGGCAACAACCAAGTCGTAGCGCTAATCAAATCCGAATTTACCCCTAAACCTCCAAGCAAACCCCATAAATCACTCCTACCGTCTTTTCTCTGTCGCGGACAAGAGTTTATGGAAATCTGACAGCCGTTGGGAATCGAAAATAATTGATTCAAATCTCCCTCTTGATAATCACGCTAATCTTAAGGCGAGTCGTGTAAGAAACAAATAAAAGCAGGAATTAAAATTGCTTCTTTCTCGCCCCTGACAGAGTCACGTTACAATCGTGATCGACACGACGACAGAGCAGAGCTGAGCTGTCTCGCGCAGAGTCTCTCCCTGGAGAAGGTGGTGGAATTCACGTGGTCGGAGTCGCGGTGTCCATCGACGCGCTGTCGCTCATTTGCTCGCAAAAAGCGTCGCCGAACTCTCCCCGGCAGCGAGTAAACCGCTAGGCAACACTCGCTGCAACAACGACGACGACAACGACGGCGGCGGTCGCATTATCTTAAGTTCTGCGTCGCGAAACGAGAAGAGAAAGGAGACACGCAGGATACGGCAACTGCAGACGGTGCTCGATACCACGGAGAGAAAGGGGGAGAGGGGGGGGGAAGGCAGCATCGGGGTAGATGCGAGAGGGTAGATAGCGAGACACTGATTGCGAAACTTACCTTCCCGCAGGACATTTCGCCGATCAACTCTTTCCTTCTGGCTTCAATCTACCTCTCTCCTCTACTCCGCATTCTCCTTTCTCTCTCCCTTTCTCCGCGTCACCCCTCATCGTTTCCACTTAGGGTTAACGACGACGACGAGGAAGGTGTCGTCGCTCCGATCCGAACTTTCCCTCGCTTTCGCTAACGATATCTCGCCACCGATGGTTGATTTAAATTTTTAATCGCGACTGCATTATCCACCCCTCCCGCCTCCCCACGACTTGTGCGCTCTATTTGCGTCTCGTCAGACGAGGTTTTTTTTTTCTCTTCGTTTCATCTGTTTGTTTCTTTCCCTTTTCCATTCACGGCCGAGCCGCAGCACCGCGTCGGTCGCTCGGCGTGTTTATTAATTCGGCGCTGACGGGAAACAGATTAATTAGAAGGCGGATTGCGGAATTATACACGCAGTACAAACCAATTTCTTGGGCTGGCGCGATCGCGGCAGCAACGGCGAGAAGATAATGCGTTTCATCAGCTTCCGACGCGCGTCGTCCGTTGGCCGGCAATTTTTCTCGCTCGAGGAAGCGGAGACCGCGTAACTTTTTCTTCGTTTTCTTCCGCTCCTCTTTCTCTCTCTGTCTTTTTGTTTTTTATTTTTCTCAATCATTTCGTCGGGCGTGCGCGCCTTAATGGATTTTCTCGTTATAATTCCCCACCGCGCGTGCGCGCGCATAAAATAGTATCTCGGCGGGCGCTTACGTAAATGATTAAACTCTTAAGTGAATCCACTTAGTCGACGCGGATACGTTTCGCCGCGTCGAGGTGGAGTCGTGGCTCGCCCATACGCGTTTGCACGTTTCACTTGCGTAATGTGATTTATCTCACGTAAATGGATGGCGAAGAGAGTCGACTGGACGGGAGGAAGGGAGGAAGGATATACGGTTTCTTTTGGCAACGGCGTCACCCCGTACAGCCTGTACATTCTCCGCGGCGCACATCGACAACTCGGTGCCGCGGGACGAAAAATTGGCGACGATAATAGATACGGGATGGTCGCGTCCTCCCTCCGCCGGAAGAAGTTCTTACGATAAATTACAACTTTGATATTCAGAACTTTCCAGGTCCGTGGGAGAAATACGAGATAAAGTTCCCTGTTCCGGTTTATTTTTCGCGAATCGACGCGCCCCCGTTCCACCCCTTTCTCCTCTTCCCCTTGGAGTCATTACGATACCGTGATTTACATTCGTTCCCTCCCATCGTCTGTTTTCAACTAATATCACCTATTTTGTGATATTTCGCCTCCTGAATGAGCATACTCTGGATT